AGGCACAAATCCCCTCGACACCCCCCTCCCCCCACCCGAAACCAGGGTTCGACCAGATCAACTTAAAAAATGTCAGAACCAAATACAAAATATACAGCCGTAACCGATAGACAAAGCAAGGAAAAGAAGCCAAACATGAAGAATAAAAAAGGTACAATCAGAAAAATAAGAAAGGGGAGAAACAACAAGATGCACAGCTGCCCGTTTCTGTCTTTCCCTCGATGGGGTCAATCACAATAACACACACTGACGAGTAATGAAACAAGATTTCAGTTTCGGTTCATCCCAACGGGGGAAACAATTAAAATCAAGCTGCATGACCTGTCAGAGCGTGTGTAACTGCAGGTTAGCACAAACTGTAAAAGGACTGAGCACTGCTGTATTAGGAACAATAAGGATCTGCAGCACGAGTACTTCCTACAGACGAGCATCGGGGTGATGAGCTAGCGACTAGTTACACTGCCCCTGGAGGGAGTTATCTGCATTTGTAGAGTGCACGGTTTTGTAGTGAGCCATGAATTAGTAAGTGGCCACAGAGGAACACTGTTGTTTGGATCAGAATTATCTGCCCCCCCCCACCACCACCACACACACACACACCTCCCCCCTGGCCAGCAAGACTCTCTGTCCTTGGAAGCCCTGTCTGTCTCTCTTTGTCTCTCCGAGTCTCACAGAGTTACCATAGAAACAGGAGTGGGATAAGGTAACATGAAAAGTGAATCCTGTAATTTCTGAGAGACGGGCGGGCATTTTGTTGATAGGCGGAAAAAAGTGACAAAGAAATCACTTGTAAGGGAATGCAGCGTGCCGTCCGAAATGCACACAGACACATCAGAACAGGTCTGCACTCGGTCAAAGGCGTTGTTTCTTTCATATGGCTCATGATTCAAAATGGCACAGAGCAGCTTTATCAGTGGAAACCAAACAAGAAGTAGTTTTTGTTGTTGTTGTTCTGGGCCTCGGAGATGTCTGCAGTCTGTGCAGCGCTTCGGAGAAGCCGGAACGCCAATGACAATCATCAAAGATCCAGCCAGACATCACATGCTCTCTCTCTCCAGCACCTTCCCCGCGCCCTGCCTGTACTTCCGCTGTTGCTAGGTAACAGCTGTGGGGCTAGATGCTGAAGTTGAGTCCCCCTAACCCCTCTGTCTGGCGGGCCTGTCTAGCAGCACCGCAGACACGGTCCTGTGCAGCAGCGCCCGCGCAGCAGAGCCGAGCAAAGGGGCACCCTTGCCTTCTTTCTAGCCTCTCAGCAGCTGCAGACTTTCAACTAGCCTCCATTCGTCAAAGAATATTACCAGGCCAGTGTCCAGCTGATTTAAAGGAGGGCAGGCGCTACTCAAGTTGAGATTTCGCCTGCAGGTGGGGATGAAACGCTTCAGGTGTTTGTGTGCATTTTGAAGCAATTCAGAAAAGATTGTCTCCCAATATTTATTTATTTTTTGTCTCTGGGAACAGTCCTTACATTTACCGTAAGGCCTCTGCACGCTGATTTGTGCACAGTTAAGTGTTTCCCCCATGCCAGCGATCCACACATCTGTCACTGACCCTCACTGCTCTCCCATTGTGCACAATGCTGTCATTTACCAGGCCTCTACTGGAAATACAGCTCCAAAGTTTCTACAGCTGATTCCATCACTAAGAAAGTAGCTCCCTCTGGTGACCTAGTTACGACACGCGTGCCTGACTGTGGTCTGGGGCGAGGGACAGTCTTAGTCTTAG